CATGGATAAGGAAATTAAACCTAGAATCCTTAGTCTTCTTGAAACTGTATGAATACAAATCACCTCGGTAAAATTAAATGAGTCTAATTATGTTGTATGGGCTCAATTTGTCAAAGTATCTCTTGGTGCAAGGGAGAAATTGAAATATTTGATTGAGGAAAAGTTCAATAAATTTGGTTTTCGATATGAAGAATGGATGAGAGTGGATGAGAGAGAATTACATAATTGTAACCTGGTTGTAGTGTAGTATGGAACCCCAAATAAGTGCCAAAGTGATGTTTCTTGAAACAACTAAAGAAATTTGGGACACTTTGAAAGAAACATATACATCTAAAAGAATATCTCTTGGGTATATGAGCTGTTTGAGAATATTTTCACTTGCAATAGGGTAATAAGAGAGTCTGAGTGAGTATTATAGTACCCTTACGAGTCTGTGGAAAGAGCTGAATCTACATCAGCTTATACATGGTGATGTGGAATTACAGAAGAGGCTGTGTGAAGAATTTAGGGTCCCCGAAATTTTATTTGGCCTTCATCCTGAGTACCGTTATGTACATGGATAGATCTTGGCAAGCAGTGAACTCCCATCTAATATTTACTCATGCATTCAATGGGTAAATATATCTGCTTCTCCCTCTCCTTCTGATACTAGTAATGGATCGGCATTGACTACAGTTGTAGGGAGAGGTGATGGAGGCAGAGGTAGGGGACAGGGTCGTGACTCAGGAAGACGTAGAGGTGATGGTGGAAGGGGTGGAGGAACTCGCAAGTGTACACATTGTGGACATACAAATCATACACTTGATACGTGTTGGGAAAAGGTTGGTAAGCCTACTTGGGCAAACCGGGTTCCTTGCACATCTAAGAGTGATGACCTTTATCTGAATGGACTCAGTTACTGCCAACAACAGTCAAATTCTGCTGGTGATTCTGTTGTGCTCTCCAAGTTAAACAAATATAATCATCTATGGTTCCGTCTTCCTCTTCTACTGCCACCCTTGTCAATTCAGGTGCTTATGTGGTTCTAGCCTCTCAGAAACCTGCTCCATGGGTTATTGGCTCAACAGCCTCTGATCAAATTACTGGTGAGTCATTTGTTTCTATATCTTTAAATAAGTGTATTCCTAATTCCTTTGTTACCCTGGCTGCTGGATTGCCGTCCAGTGTGTCAAGTACCGTACAATTATGCCTAATTCCCTTTCTCTATCATTTGTATTATATGTTCCAAAAGTTCCCTTTCAATTTATTAACTGTGAGAAAATTAACCAAATCTCTTCATTGCTCTACAACCTTTTATCGTTCCCCGTGTTTCTTTTAGGATCTAAAGATGAAGAGGACGACTGTGGCGGGTATGAGTCAGGTGGCATGTGCTACTTGGATCATAACCTTATTGGTGCTGCACTTCACTCTGCTGATTCTCCTTATAGCATTGTCGATTGGGTCAGCCTTCTCTCAATAACTTGAAGTTGTTAGTCCCTTCTTCGGAATCTGTATCTGCTTTAGTGTGTGAAGCATGTAAGGAAAACATCATAGGGTGTCATTTTGTCCTAGAGCTAACAAACAGAGACTTGTTTCTTTTACTGTGTTTCATTTTGATGTATGGGGTCCAGCTAGAGTACATATTTTGTCTGGTCATAGGTATTTTGTAGCTTTTGTAGATGATTATTCACGATTGACATGGTTATACTTGATAAAAGAGAGATATGAGATTTTCTGAATTTTTAAATTGTTTCCCTAGGTGATTCTGAGTCAATTCAATAAAAATGTGTATATTTTATGTTAGGGTGTGGTTTCTATAAGGTCGCAACCTTAAACAATCCAATTAAGGCGCACCTTAAAATTTTATCATAAATGTAATTTTGTTGTAAAAAATTCTTAGTATTAACTTAAAATCTATTTTCACACCTAATAGGAAATTTTAAATTCCAAAAATGGTTAAAATCAAGTAGATCTATAAATATATGAAAATCTTGAAATTAGACGGTCTAGATAATGTGTTGCAAGATGCACTATTTCCGGGATTGAAAAACTTTTTTTTTTCATGTTCATAGATCTCGATGTCGAGATGATTGATTAGAGGGCTTTTTCAACATTAAAACAACATTTCTGATAGATTTTTGAGGTGTATCTGTGATTCTACATTTTAAGGTTGCATCCTTATATAAACTTTTCCCTTTATGTTATCTGATAATGCTAAAGAGTCTCTTTTTAGAGAATGTTAGACTTATTTTGTGCGCATACTCCTCAACAGAATAGGGTTGCTGAAAGAAAATAATAAACATTTACTTGAAGTAACTTGTTCTCTGCTCGTTAATATGCATGTTCTAAAGGGTTATTTAGGGAGATGCCTTACTGATTGCAGGCTATTTCATTAATTAGATGCCCTCTTCAGTCTTAAATAAAAAACATCACACTCAGTCCTCTTTCATGATGCTCCACTATTTGTTGTTCCTCCTTGAGTGTTTGGGTGTGTTTGCTTTGGTAATATGTTAGGTACCGGAAATGATAAGCTAGATCCCCAGGCTGTCAAAAATGTCTTTCTATGGTATTCATGCTACCAAAAAGTCTATCGTTGTTATCAAAAGAGATTCATGCTAGATACATATATTTTTTATCCTATTTCTAAAGAAGTCTCAAAAGTCCTCGCCTTCTATGTTTCCTCTTCCTGCTTTTGTTGATACTTCTTCTTCACCCCTTGAATCTAGTACACCTACACATCATAATGTTTCTCAGGAGCAACCATAAAGGTTTACACCAAAAGAAGAATGCAGGGTGGACATCCACCAACAACTCAGCCAACCTCTCAATCATCGTCTTGGTCTACTGATCCACTTCCTTCTTGTGATTATGATGTCTTCAGTAAAGGTATTAGGTCTTGTATTGAACATGCGATTGAACATTTTGATACCTTTACAAGTTTGTCTCCATCATATCAAAGCTTTAGCCATTTCATCTTATTTCTGTTCCTAAGATCTATCAGGAAGCACTTTCTCATACTGGGTGGAAGAGAGCAATGGAAGAGGAGATGGATGCCCTTCATTCAAATAGTACATGGGAGCTCATCAAATTACCCGCTGGAAAAAGGACTGTTGGGTGTTGATGGGTTTATGTAGTTATATATCAACTTGATGGCACTGTAAAAAGATTAGCCGTTGTGGGAATTTGATGTCAAAATACTGTCCTCCATGGTGATTTATAAGAAGAGGTATACATGGAGCAACTATCTACGTTTATTGCTCAGGACGAGTGGGATAAAACGTGAGGTAAAGAAAGCGATTTATGGTCTGAAACAATCCGAGTAAGTTTACGAAAGCCATTTATGGCCTGAAACAGTCCCCATGGGCATGGTTTTTAATGTTCAGTGAAATTATCATAGCATATGGTTTTCGGTAGTGATGCAGATCATTTATCGTTTATTTGGAAACATGATTCTAGAATATTTATTTTAGTTGTCTGTGTTGATGATATTGTTGTTATTGGCAATGATCAAGAAAGAATCAGTCATTTGAAGAGACATTTAAAATCATATGTTTAGATTAAGGATTTAGGCTAACTATGAGGTATTTTGTAGGAATTGAAGTAGCCAAATCAAAGCATGGCATTAGTTTGTCTCATAGAAAACATGTGACTGATTTGTTGACAGAAACTGGAATGTTGGGTGCTGGACTAGTGAATGCTTCTTATGGATACAAATACGAAATTATTGGTTGATCAAGGGCAGTTGTTTGAGGATCTAGGAATGTACAAAAGAATCAGTTTGTGTTGTGAGTCTATTTATGCATGCTCCTAGAATTTTCCTCAGATGTTGTTCGTAGAATTTTAAGGTATCTGAAGGTAGCCCTAGGTTGAGGTTTAATTTACTAGCTAAATAATCATATAGTCATTGAAGGTTACTTAGATGCTGATTGGGCAAGTTCACCATCTGACAGGCGGTCTGCCACAAGTTATTGTACTTGAGGGAAATTTGGTAACATGGAGAAGCAAGAAGCAAAATGTTGTCTCTTGATCAACGCAGATAGAACAATGGCTCATACTACATTTGAATTGATGTGGCTGAAAACAGCCATGTAGAAGATGGGGTTAATTGATGAACCTATGAAGATGTATTGCAATAATGCATCTGCCGCCTATCTAGCTAGTAATCTGGTGTTTCATGAAAAGGATCACTTCATATTGAAGTAGCTTGTCATTTTATCTGAGAGAAAGTTGCTGATAAGCGTCTACTCCATATGTAAAATCTAGGATCAGCAGGGAGATATTTTGACCAAAGGTCTTCGTTGTAATATATTCCAAACAATTTGTTCATGCTCGGCATGGGCAACATTTATGCTTCAGCTTGAGGGGGAGTATTAAAACCCTTTGTTATCTAAGTTTTGGACTGAAGTGTCCTAAGTCTATTTGTATGGGAAATTTTGCCCATATCATATTTTTAAATGAAATATAAGGCTGAGAAGTGCGTGGGTGTTTGTTAGACCTCACGGCACTCTCTCCTTTCACATCTCTCATCTCTCTTCTTCTCTATCTCTATGCTTTGGAAGAAAGGTTGAATGATGAAATTTTCAAAATTTTTAAGAGTTTTTGTTCTTAACAGAAGGAACAAATACAGTGGCAGCATTACTGGAAAACTTAAAAAGTATGAAAAGAAGAGTGGCTGGTTTGAAATCCTAACTCTGGTTCTGTCAATCATCTTCACTCTTCAAACTCCAAATGAGATTTGTCTTTCTCCTGGCCCTAATAGAAGGTCATGAAAGGGGAGTGCTCCAATCCTACTGCTCCAAGGAAACTTAAAAAGGATACATTTCCACACCACTATCTATTTGACAGTTTTATGTAAGGAGTAAGTACTTTGTTTTGGTATGGAAGGAGCAACAAGATTTGGAAATTTGTTGGGAGTTACTTATACGATGTCTATGATATTCATCAAATTAGATATCATCATGTAGGTATTTGATAATTCCGAAAATGCAATATGATTTGATGATCCTGTATGTATTTTGCAGGCTCATGGAATTGCGGAATATATTGCACAGGTGAGACTATTTCAGTGTTGTTTTTCGTAAACCATGATATGTTAGCATCTTTTCCTAGTGTTTGATTCTCGTGCTCTATTTTGGCATACTACAGGAGGAGATGGATCGAAAAACAGGATTCTGGTGGTCCCTTGATAGTAAATACATTGCATTCACTGAAGTTGATGCTACTGAAATTCCCATCTATAGAATCATGCATCAAGGCAAAAGCTATGTTGGCTCTGATGCTGAAGAAGATCATGCCTACCCATTTGCTGGAAAAGCAAATGTTAAAGTTCGCCTTGGCGTGGTTCCATCTTCAGGGGGTGAAATCACTTGGATGGACCTCCTCTGTGGAGGACTGGATGTTCCTTGTAACAGTGAGGAATATTTGGCTAGAGTATCATGGATGCCGGAAAACATTCTCATTGCTCAGGTTTTGAACAGACCTCATTCAAGGCTAAAGATTCTTAAGTTTGACATCCATTCAGGCAAAAGGGAAACACTCTTTGTTGAGGAGGCAGAGTCAGATACATGGATTAACTTACATGACTGCTTGACTCCTTTGCTAAAGGGTGTTGATAAGTTTACAGGGGGGTTTATTTGGGCCAGTGAGAAAACTGGCTTTAGACATCTTTATCTTCATGATAAGACTGGGACATGCATGGGACCTATCACAGAGGGAAACTGGATGGTTGAGCAAATAGCTGGCGTGAATGAAAATACAGGGGTTGTATATTTCACTGGAACCATGGATGGACCTTTGGAAACCAACTTATATTGTACGAAACTATACCCGGATTCAAGCCAACCTTTGCAGAGACCACAGAGATTGACATTTGGTCCAGGAAAACATGCAGTCATCCTAGATCATCTTATGCAGAGGTTTGTTGATGTTAATGACTCTTTGGAAACTCCACCTAGGGTCTCGCTTCATTCATTACCTGATGGAGCCTTATTAAGGATCCTATATGAGCAGTCTTCTGTTATCTCGCGATGCAAAAGACTTCAACTTGTGTCCCCTGAGATTGCAGAGATAAAGGCAAATGATGGAACAACTCTTTTCGGGGCTATATACAAGCCTGATGCCAAGAGATATGGACCGCCTCCATATAAAACCTTAATCAGTGTCTATGGAGGCCCTAGTGTTCAGTTCGTATGCAATTCATGGATCAATACAGTTGACATGAGAGCTCAGTATTTACGAAGCAAAGGCATCCTGGTCTGGAAGGTTAGTAGTTTCAGTAATGTGCAGTTTTGAGAAGATTCAAAAGTTTTTCGTTGAATTATCCTATGTTCCTAAGGGCACCATATGTGTCTATGTGATGTGCGCCAAATTATTACCTTGTGTTATTTCAATCATAATTGTTTGCCTATACAATAAATTTATACTTGTTGTTTTTGTGTAATTTAACAAGCGATTTGCAGCCTCTCTGAATGCTGTTGCTTCACTGTATTTGGGGATGGATGCTTATGAAGGACCAATACTTAGCAGACCAAATGTTTGCTCCAACTTTCTTTCTAAATTGGAGTTTAATCATGTAGCTATTAGTGCAACTGGTTTTCATGCATGCTTTACTACATCTTTTAATGTGATCCGTGGTCTTTGAGGACATTCTGACGAGAAGATACACTCATGTTCTCATCAATATTGTAAGTTTGAGAAAAGCATCATTTTATCTCGGGAAATTTATGAAAAAATACTATTTTATTATTGAAATTAAAAGTTAGTCCTCCATATTTTATTTTTTACATCAAGTCCCACTTTTTAAAAGTGTGTATTGTATTTTAATTTTTATATTCGTTTCTATAAGCCTGATTGAGCTCAAATTTGGCCAATTCTATTTAACTTATTATGTTTTTAATATTTTTTTAGTGTATTGTGGTGGGAAGTAATAATGCCCAAAATTTGTGCTTAATCAGATATATAAGAAAAAAAATAAAATTAAAATAAACATTCACTATAAAAAAGTGGGACTTAAGTATAGAATATAAAATACATAGGGCTATTTCTAAATTTGAAAGATAGAAACGGATTTCTCTATTAATTTCCCTTTGATCTATTATAGCCTCGAAAGCCCTTGAAAGTCATTACAATCACTGAATATTACTTTTAGATGCTATGTCCTAGTGTCCATTTTGCGGTTATACATTTGGATCACCTTGGGTTTGTGAACTAGCATGAGTAAAGATTGGAAGCTTTGGTGTGGGGATAGAATATGTAGATCTCCTTCACAAAGTTTTGGGTGCAATGTATTTGGGTGCAGGAATGGAATGTGGATCTCTTTGGGTCTATAGGGTTAAGGAAGTTTCCATTCTTAATGAGGTTGTAAATTGGGCTGGGGCAGAGAAATTGAATAATGACAGGTGGATATAAGGTCAGGTTCTCTCCTGTTCTGGATCGATAGTACAAGAAAAATGTGTAGAGATTGCAATACAGCGCACATCGGTTCTGTCCTGCCTGTTAGGATTGAGCAGATACAAGACCAAGAGGCCAAAAAACCCTAATCCATTTTGTATGCTGTGTATGTAGCTTCCCCCTTCCCTTGCCACCTCTCTATAGTAATTGATTTCTCCAATAGAAAGAAAAATACTTTATCGATTCCAATCATCAAATCTCTTTAACCCCACTTTTAAACCCTAGTATTTACTCTAGCACTTCTTTTCTTGCTTAGTATGTCTTGCTGGAGGAGCTATTCTACAAGGGCCTAATTTAAACTTAGATTGAGGTGTTAAGGAGGTTTTCTTGAAAGACTAGGAAATTCATGATCGCATTTATTGAATACTCCATGGCTTGTAATCATTTGAGGTGGGATCTCTTATGGAGGGCAAAATTATTCGTATTTTTTATTTTTATTCAATTTTAAAAGATGTATATTATTGTTTTAGTTTTAGGATTTATTTTTAGAATTTGTAGTTTTTTAGGAATTCTAGGGCTTTTATCATTTTCTTTGTTTATTTCATGGGTACTATTCACAAGTACTGTTTACGGGTACTGTTCGCAAGGGTAAAACTGTCATTACAAAATTTAAGTTTAAGTCAGAATATATAAGTCATTTTAATCAACGTATGCACATGTAGCGTCTTGAACATTGAATTATAATATATAAGAGGTGTGTGGGGCCTTGAGAGGGTCAATTCCATATGATTTTTAGAAATGGAAAGAGAGAAGCTTAGGCTTTTGGAACCCTAGCTTGGGGTTTGAAGAAGAAACCCGAGGTTTCTTCGACTTGTGCTTGTGTTTGGTTTGCTCCTTGCTATTTTTATTGTTTCCTTCAAATTCCCCTGCATTAAATTGGTATCAGAGCCCGCGATCTACACAGAAATCATTGTAGCAATGTATACGGAGTCACTATAGCACAGTACAGAGTTATTGTAGCAGTGTTTGGAGTTACAATAGCACTGCGTTTTTGGTGCCCTAGGTCAACAACAAAGAGGGGAAGTTACAATAAGTCTAGGTTTTGCTGATTTTGGCCAAAGTTTAGCCAAAACAACATAGATCTTGTTGATTTCAGCATTTTTGTCGATTATTTGTCTAGGGTTTATGATTTTGGCGAACCCATGGCAGTAAGAAGAGGCTGTAGAAGGGGGATTTTCGTAGATCTACTCTGTGATTGCATAGATGACATAATTAAGGAACTTGAAAGGCAAGTACAACAGCTATCTCAACAGTTCGTGAGCTACATTAATAGGCAAGACGGTGATCTCTTAGACAAAGAGGATCTCGAGTACAAGCTTTTTCACTTTTGCGCTTCGTGTGTTGAGCCGAATGATGAGGATAGTGACAGAAGACCTATATGTGGGAAACATCACTATAGGGTTTTTGATTTGAAGGATGAATCTTTTGTTTTGACATGGATTGTATGGAAAGTTAGCAAATTGTAGATTGGGATTCATCACCATTCTTCAATATATACTCAGATATACAACAAGATTTCTTAAGAGATCCGATCTATGATAAGGATCAAGATGATGATGAAGAGATTTTGAAAGAGGATGAAGAATATGGAGAGCAGGTAGAAGGAGGGCTGATCAAAATCATGACCTTTGAAGATCTCATTAAGATCGAAGATGTAGTGCATTCAAGAAATTCAGGATATTGGAATTAGAGTAGTGCAGTGGCAGCATCGTTGAACCAGAATTTGTAAAATGTGGCCCTGATTCCACAATATACGTATTAGGATCCATTTCTTGAGGAATTATTTTTAGCATGAATAATCAGTGAGCCAACAAAGAAGAAGAAGGTGGTTTTGACATTGAGTTCACCTTATCACACTTCAAAACTTGAGGTCGAGTTTTCTCCAACCAGGAGAGAATGATGAATGGAAAAATTATTCTTATTTTTTATTTTTATTCAACTTTAAAAGATGTATATTATTGCTTTCGTTTTAGGATTTATTTTTAGGATTTTTAGTTTCTTAGGAATTCTAAGGTTTTTATCGTTTTTTTATTGATTTCATGAGTATAATTCACAAATACTATTCATGAGTACTGTTCACAAGGGTAAAACAATCATTACGAAAATTAACTTTAAGTTAAGGTATATAGGTTATTTTAATCATTGTATGGACCTATAACGTCTTGAACATTGAATTACAATATATAAGAGGTGTGTGGGGCCTTGAGAGGGTCAATTCCACATAATTTTTAGAGATTGAATGAGAGAACAGGCTTGGCTTTTGGAACCCTAGCTTGGGGTATGAAGAAGAGAACCTAGGTTTCTTCACCTTGTGCTTGTGTTCAGTTTGCTCCTTGCTGTTTTTACTATTTCCTTCAAATTCTCCCTACATCACTCCCACTCATGCTGAACATGAATGGAGCTTTTGGCCCTTTTGTATGGAGAAGTGGCAATATTGGGTGGCCTTATTTTGAGGGGAAAGATGAGGGAGTGGCTTGAAATAAATTGCCAACCCCTTGTGGTTGTCTTGCTTCCTTTTCTTGGCCTTGCCGGGAGGAAATAGAACAAGGGCTGGAGATTTTTAGAGAATACCATTCTCAATCTACAATCATTCTGATGTAGTGCTGCTTTTTCTTTCCCTTGTTGGTTCTGAGATGAGTGGGATAGAGATACTTAGCTGGCTCAAGATGCATTGTATAAATTAGCAGCTGAGGTGTTGGTGCTAACACAAGAAGTAATACCGAACTTTTCATTCCTTGTAAGGGAGGCTTTGTGATTGGACTTCAAATTTTGTTCTTTTAGTGGTCCACAAGGGAATCTGTTGTATGCGTAGTCTTATGAGAAGTAAAAATGAGCAGGTATACTTGGTCTCATAACATATACTATAGTTGTGGGAATGTTGGGGGTAAGGCCATGATCCCACCTTAGGAACTCGATCCCACGGTTCGTCTAAGGAATCTTAACGGGGAGCTGTGTTTAGAGAAGTAAGGATCTCGCTCCCTATAAAATGGGATCTTTCTACATGCTTGTAGGATCTCTCCAATGAGAGGAGCTATACTATCAATTGAGCTACTACTCCTCTCCTTAGTATTATTTATTTATGTCTTTATGTTATATTGTGGTGCATATTACATCATGTATACTAGAACAAAGGTATTAAAAAACTACAGTTTAATATCATAGTAAGCCAATTTATGATACTATTAAATCATATTATTGCTGTAAATGGGAGTACTATAACTGCTGCATTGGTAATAAGCTAAGGTGTATGATATTGGATCAATTGGGCATTGGTTCGATCCTAACTTTATCGTATACTATTAATTAATCTCATTTTATGTATAGCTATACTTAGATCTCCCAAGTCAAAACCTCAATCCCAGTGACATGGGATCTTGCTCCCAGGTGTCTTAGGATCTAGCTTCTTAACTTGTTGAATATACAGATGTTGATCCAAAAACCGATCCCGCTGCCGAATTCCCTCTCTCCTCCAACACCTATGACGTAAACCTTAATTTGGTGTTAGGTCTTTAGAAAGTATAAAACTAGATTAGAAACATGCAAGAATATGACATCAATTTTGTGTAGATATTTGCCATTGTAGCAAAACTGACCATGATTTATACAAGATCAACATTGCTAAGTGAGTCACTGACGTTTATCCCAGATGGTTGTGGAAAATGTTTTACTTCTTGAGAACCTGAATAAGGAGACACAAATGCAACCTCCATCAAGGACAATAGTGGAACATGAGTGTGTGGTGTTTTGCCTTCAGAAGAAGTTTTATGGACTCAGCTGATTCCTTGAGCGTGGTTCAGATGTTGAGAGAAGAAAATACATGTGCAAATTCCATCAAGGATAACAAGGGATCATAAGTGCATGTTGTTTTGCCTCAGAAGGCATTTATGGGTTTACTTTTTTGCTCGAGAGTGGTTCCAGATGTTGAGAGAAAAATTAATGCGTAGTAGTGTACTTTCAAAACTATAAACCATAATGATTCCAGATAGTATGGCTAACAGTCTGCTGTAATGACTTCTGAGATGCCGAGTCTTTTGACGTCTGGACAATATTTTGATGGTGTTGTACCTGGCATGTCATCCGAAACATCTGTAAAATGCAGAGCTTCAGATGAAAAACTTAGTATAGATGCGGCACTTCTTAGGTATCAAAATTTATTGGTTACCTTGAGGATGCTTCTCTCAGCTCAAATACACATAGGGCATCAGTGATAAGACATTTCGCACTGACAGTAAGAGGATAGATACCCTGCTTGTGTTGGGTGATTTAGTGGCCTATTGAATTGATATTGCCACACAGTGGGGAGCCTTACCTGGGACTGACATCTCATATGACATTTTATTTGTTCTTAGATATTTGTTTGTTGGATTATTTGCTTTCTTCGGATGACACCAGGAAAGGGCTTTATGCTCTTACTCTAGATAGAAGGGATTGGTTATAATCTTCTCAAGTTTGGACATAGTTCAGTTTGGCGGAGGAAGAGAATCACTTTGGTGCTTTAGCCTTTCGGTAATTTGTAATTAACTAAGTAATTAAAAAAGGAAGCCTTTTATAAAAGAAAAAATTGTCGGGATGAGAAACCAAAAAGCGATTCAGAAAAGCATTACACATTTTGAAAGTGGAGTTATGTTTTTACATAAAATTAAATTAAATTAAGTCATTTGCATAAATGACTTATCTATCATAAAAGAACAAAAACTAACATTTTTGTGTGTATCAAATCAAGGAAAAATGAATGAGAGGTTGTAAGGTGTATTAACTTGAACTTACCCAAAAAACAAAGGTGTATTAACTTGATCAAGTGTTAATACTTTGGGGGCATATTCTGTCACAATGATGGTATGATTTTCTTGATGAGTATTTAGAAACTATTATTAGCTGCATTTTGGAAGTGTAAAGCTCTCTCTCTCTCTCTCTCTCTATATATATATATATATATATATATATATATATATGTCTATGTTCATACACAAACAAGCATGTTTAATTACTTCTCTCATTGACAGCTCATAGGAGAGTGTAATCCCCTGTTGAACTTTTTCAGTTTCTCATTATTGTCCAATTGTTTAATAATTAATACTGTTCACACAGTACCCTGAGAAATCGTCAAGTATGATTAGACTATATAAATGAATTGGGTTAGACATGTATTTATGCCTTTTCCTATATCAACTGAATACCTACTTTTCCAAAAATAATCATTCATTTACTTACTCTTATTTCCTCCCATGTTTCAGCTTGATAACCGGGGGTCAGCACGTCGTGGTCTCAAATTTGAAGGGTCGCTAAAGTACAACTTTGGGCGTATCGATGCTGAGGACCAACAGACTGGTGCAGAGTGGCTTGTAAAGCAGGGCCTTGCGAAGCCTGGCAGGCTTGGCCTATATGGCTGGAGCTATGGAGGCTATCTCTCCGCCATGTCTCTAGCCAGGTGCTCCTTCCTTTTCGTTCCCTTATTGTTTGGGCTATGGCGGTTACCTCTCAATGCTCAATGCTCAGTAGTGACTATGCATGCTCTTATTTTATTTTTTATGCTCTCTTCTAACTGGTCCTGTTCTTTTGAGCGATGGAGCAACCTCCCAGCAAGAAGTGTTCTTCTTATCTCCTTTTCTTTTCTCTAATTAGCCTTTTTTGAGCTATAGGAAATTATCTTTCATCAGTGACCCTTGCCTATTGTTGTTCCTATTTATTTCTCCTTTACTTGGCCCTTTTGGGTCTTGGAGGCAATCTCTTACCACCCATCACTCTGGCCTGTTTCGTAAGCTACCACTTACACGTGATATTTTCCTGGTTCTCTTCCTCTAGCTTTAGAGCTCTCTACGTTTTTATCTTCAGCACCAATGAACCAACATATTTCTTTATGCCATAATACAATGGAGTAGCATCCACCATCCATTCCTAACAATAGGCGGTGGAGATTGCCCATATCTGGATGAATTTCCCCATGGGCCCCACCATGTTAATATCCAACCAACCATAATCAGGAACAGACAGTGAATACCCCTTTGGAGTATTTTATACCATGCTTCATTGAATTATGCTATACTTTCCTTTTTGTTTTTCTGTGGGCAACTCAAAATTCAAAGCTCTGACATCAGTGTTGTGGACCCTGACCCTAGGTTCCCGGACACATTCAGCTGTGCAATATCGGGAGCGCCCGTCACAGCTTGGGATGGTTATGACACATTTTACACAGAGAAATATATGGGTTTTCCCACTACGAATGTGGCTGGTTATGAGTACAGTTCTATCATGCACCATGTCCATAGAATAAAGGGTAAATTGTTATTGGTGCATGGAATGATTGATGAGAACGTGCATTTTAGGCACACTGCAAGGCTTGTTAATGCCTTCATAGCTGCTGGTAAGCCTTATGAATTACTGGTTTTTCCTGATGAGAGACACATGCCTAGAAAGCAAAGGGACAGGGTGTACATGGAGGAGAGAATATCTGAGTTTATAGAGAGGAACTTGTGAGAGAATCCATTACTGGTGAATTTTTTGTTGATGTTGTTGATCAGCGTTTTAAAACTCGGTCGAGGCAACTCGGACTCGACCGAGTAACTCGGTCATGAACCGAGGTGAGTTTTGGGTGAGTTAGTTATACACATTATTTTTAAACGTTAAGTATAATATCTCCGCTACACTTTGGCTGAGTCGATTTTTGAAACATTGTTGTTTCAACAAAATTGGTTTTTCCTTTGTCAGCAAAAGGAGTTTTTCCTTTGTCAGCTTAAGAACGAGTGATTTGTCTCTTTAACACAACATACGCGCAGACGTTCACAAACACAAACCTATTAGTTTGCGACAACGACGGGCCTCTCTTTTCTGTAATGCATGCGCAAGATACAACATGCACAATAATACACATTGACGACATCCAAGGTTAGGGGTTGCAATTGGGCCCAGGACCCAACCCGGGACCTGCTAGGTATACCCTACACAGGTCTAGGTATGGGTTTAAAATTTGGACCCGGTGGATCGGGTCTGGGTCTAAAACCTAGACCTGAACACCATTCGGGTCAGGGTCCAGGTGCGGTTGAACTGGATTCGTATTCGTAAACGGTTGGAGATAAAATATTTCAAGCTCTATTTTTTTGGGTGTATTAATGATCTTATACAATAAGAACTTATAGACATCTTTAGTTATTAAATGACAAATCAAACGGTTTGAAATCTAATAGCAGGTGATTGTAACATTCTTGTCAATAATGCGAATATATTATGGTAAAAAAAGGGTAAAAAAAAAAAAAAACTCAGTGTGAGCATAGCAATGAATTTGATTAGACTTAGGACCCAACAAGATAGACCTCGGACCTGACCGGTACAGGTATGGGTCCAACTTTTGGACCGACCCGACCCATACTTAACGGTTGCCACCCTTAATCCAAGGCACTCTCTCTATGTACTTATGCTTATCGTGAAAAAGTTAACCCTTACAAGATTCTTTCCATCCTTTTATTGAAGTAGCAGATTTGCACGTGGGGTGTAATTGGTGTGCCCTCTGGAATATGAGGCATTTCTAATTCCTACAAATTGGAGATAATCATTCTACCTTTATTTCTCTCCTTTTCTCTTTGCATAAGATTCTTTTCCCTTTGGTCCCCAACAAGTGTATGGGTGCCCCAATACGAGGCCAAAAAGGAGAGTACATTTTTTAGGCCAAAGGAAAAGTAACATAGATCACAGGTGTGTGCTATAAGATTACACTTTGAAATACCCCACCTTTCTGTTGTGGATTATCTCGACTGTACACCACTTGAGATGGAAATGGACTATAAGATCTTTTGAAGTTTTCTCTTTGAAATGATTCAATTATGCTAAATGTTCGTAGGATCTAGATCAGATAATTTCCAATTTTTATCAGATGTCTTCTAATGAGGCATTGTTATGAAAATGGAAGTGGCATTTGGGCTCTGACACCCCTCAGCTGTGGAAGGAGGTCATGCAATCAGGGCAAAGATGGCTTGCTGATTGAGAGACTCGATAGTTGGGCCTAAGCCTCCTCGGATTGGAAAGGGATAGATTGCTGTAAGCCTTTTATATGAGGTATTGTAAATGTGATAGGGTTGCTAATGGGCTGGGTGTGGGCCGTGCCAGCTTAGGGTGAGCCCGGTTTGGAACTATGCAACGTAGGCCTGGGCTAGAAAATTTGGTCTGGGGCTCAGCCAGAATCCATGAAGACAAGGTCAAATGCGGCCCTAGTCTGAAAAAATCGGGGCCACATCTTATATAAGGGTGTGGTTTCTATAAGTTGCAACTTTAAACAATCTAATTAAAGTGCGCTTCTAAATTTTATCATAATGTAAGTTTGGTGTAAAAAATTCTTAGGATTATTTGAAAATATATTCTCATATCTAACTATAAAATATTTTAAACTCCCAAAATGGTTAAAATCAAGTAGATCTATAAACATATGAAAATCTTGAAATTGGATGGTCTAAATAATGTGTTGCCAAATACACTATTTTTGGGACTCAAAAGTTTTATTTTTTATTTTTTTTCAAGATTAACACGTCTTGATGTCAAGATGATCAATTAAAGGGTTTTTCAACATTTAAACAACATTTTCTGATGGATTTTTGAAGTGCATCTTTAATTCTATACTTTTAAGGTCGCAACCTTAAATAAACTTTTTCCCTTATACAAAAATGAGGAATTATTTTAGTATGTGTAATATATAATTTAAATTTTTTTAAGTTGGGCCAATGCTAAGCCGGCCCTGGCCTGAAAGTATTCAAGCCTACCAAGCTTGGCCCAACGCTAAAATATTTTAGGCATGCCAAGCCTTACCCACAGGCCTTAAGATGTGCCTCAGCACCGGGCCTGGCCCGGAAGCCTGCAGGCCATCCCGGGCCCTTTAACAGCCCCAGTTGGTAACAACATTTTGACTCACAAAGTGGCTGAGAGCCTGCCCACTCAAACTCCAATTCCCATAAATGTTCCAAATGTTGGTAAATTGAAAGTGAGCTTGAAAGAGGTGGTTTCCGGTGAAGCGTTCGACACAACTTTGGAACATCATTTTTAAGATATTAAAGAATTAACAAGGAGATAGCATCTAGTTTGCCACAGTACTTTCCTTATTTTCTCGATTCTATTACTATCACTTAAAGAAGATTCAGGCATCTAGAAATTGACGTTGTCCTCTGAAAAACTTAGGGACTCTTGCCACGTCTGGTTCATGTGAAATTGTTTTCTAAAAAACATTTTTCCATGAAAAAATTCACTCATATGGACAAGTGTGGGGATATTTTTACATCAATTAGTTGCCAATCTTGGCACGTCTGGTTCATGTGAAATTGTTTTCTAAAAAACATTTTTCCATGAAAAAATTCAAGTGTGAGAATATTTTTACATCAATTAGTTGTCAATTGGTATAAAAAGATGTACTAAGACCAATTCGTATGAAAATATTTCTATATTTGATCACGTGAGAGAATTTTTCCACGTGAAATATTTACTGAAAAACATTTTCACGCGAACTAAATGTGTCATTATCGATGACTATACCTTGAACATGCATCTAATAAATCTTGGAGGCTGCCAGACATTCATTGAACTCAAACTTTACCCTCGTCATAAAACATTTTTAAAAAAGAGGCTTTCCTCTCCCAATCATTTAAACATTTGCGTGATATGTAAGTGAAATGAAGAGAAAATGACCATATCTTCTTCCATTGTTCTTGCAATTGAGTGCTTTGGGGTTGACTCCTTTCAAACTTTGATCTCAATTGGGTCGAGCCAAAATCAATTAGAGAACTTCTATTGCAGCAGTCTTCCCCCCATTTATCATGATGGTCATTATGCTCTAAAGGACTGCAATTGCACATTTGGAAAGAAAGAAATAATAGAGCTTTAAGTTGTAAAGTTGAACAAGTATATTTAGTGAAATCTGATGTGGTGGCCACAATAGTTTCCTAGGCTCAAGCTAGGAAGGAGTTCAAGGGTATTCCTTTGAATTAGTCTTATGTTAAGAGTCGTATGTTTCTCTAAAAAAAAGACTTTTTATATGTATTAATATATAAATATACAAACTTGTCTTATATAAACAACTAACAGATGATAAAATTACAAATAAATTATAAACCCCTATACTACACCCACACTTGCTATAAAATACAGGATACAATACCTACCATTCCCATACATATCAATTACAATAAGAAAAATTTTATATAAGGTTGCAACATTAAAATGTAGAATTAAGGTGCACCTCAAAAATCCACCGGAAAAGGCTCTTTTAATGTTAGAAAAAAACCACATTGATCATCTTGACATCGAGATGCATGAATATGGAAACAAAAAAAATTTCGAGTCCCAAAAATAGTATGTCTTGCACCACATTATTTAGACCTTATATTTTCACATGTTTATAGATGTACTTGATTTGAATAATTTTTGGAGTTTAAAATTTTACAATTAATGATGAAAACGGATTCTCAAATCATCCTAAGAATTTTTGACACCTTATTTTGATCGTGTAAGGTGGCAATCTTATACAAACCACACCCATTACAATTTACACATTCCGTACTAACTCTGTAGACAATAAACGCTTTCTTTAATACTCCCCCTCAAACTCAAGAAGCTACAAGAGAGAGCAGATGGAGTTTGAACAGCCGGAGCATGCAGCACTAAAGCCCAGCAAGTGAACCCGGCCCTTCAACTTGAAGATAATGGCTGATGCCAAATTGTATGGAAGCAAAAATCAAGAAACAATTTATTGTTTTATATTTTGGAGGCAATTCCTCGAACAATTGGACGACATGCTCATTGTCATCGCACTCTCAGAGAATGGGTCCCTCGGGGGCCTCGCAACCTGTCTCATCGTGCTCCATGTTTTTATGTCCTCTGATGGCGACAACAAAAGATAAAAAAGGAGCACTCCTCTGCGTATAACCTCCCTCTTCTCTCTCAAAGGAAACCTAGCAACTAGAACAAGGGGCATCGTGAATCAATACGACGTGGCCAAAGTTTAACAACAAAAACCCTATCTCCCAGGTGACGGAAAATTTGCCGAGAAACACCTAAATTGGCCGGAAACTTTTGTTGGTAAATCACAAAAGAGGAGAGGAGAGAGATAGTGGAGGAGGGTTTTGAGGGAAAGGGCTGGATCTGATATTCGAAAATGATCTTTACAAGAACTTATGAAATGGTACAATCCAAGACTGATTAGAAAGCCTAAGCATTTAGCAACAAAAGATATGAATAAGGCAAGGTCGAGCAATGGCACATCCAAGTTTTTGAAACAGAAGGCAAGAAGAGGGCCAGCTCAAGTAACAGTAGATCAACAAACTCCAGCAGTGGGAAAAAAAAAACTTCAGGTTTTTACTAGAAACATAAAAACAATCGAGACGGTTAAAAGAACAGAATGTGCTGCTCGTAGATAAGAAAATATAGGATGGAGCAATAGTGGAACAACAAACTCAAGCAATGCACAGATGATCTTTGGTTCTGATACCATGTTATATCTGCAGGTTTTTCTGAAGAGACTCTCAGTATCTACTAACACATAAATATGCGAACTTGTCTTATATAAACAAATAACATACGATAAAAGTTGAAATAAATCACATAAACCTATATGATACCCATATTTACCATAAAATACATGATAGTTTATCTACCTTTACCATGTATATCAAAATATACCTTC